GGTCTCTGTGAGTTCAAAGCCAGACTGATCTACAAAGCAAGTTCCAGGACAACCAGAGCTACATAGATAGCCCAGAAATAGATAAATAAATGCTTTAATTTGAGAAAACTGGAGACTGACCTGAGTTATCAGAAATGACATCTCAAGATCCCAGATACCTTTGGCCATTGTCCCCAGTGTTGCTATCCTGTAAATTTTAACACAGCAACGCATCCAAGACATCCATGGTCGTGCAGTGGAGACAGTAACACCCCCAACACCCGGAGGAGTCCTCACTCTGCCCTCTGATGGCCCAGCCCTTCTTCCCACCCCTCTCCCTTCTTTGCCGTTGACAAACACTAACCTGCTCTCACTCCTTTATTTGTGTCATTTCAGGAATACACCACAGTTAATTTTTTTCACTGTGGAGAAGTAGTCTGTGTTATGGTCTTATCTAGCTGTTCATGCCTTGAAGGATATTTGTGTTGTTTTACCCTTTTCCTATTGCTTTTTGAGAAAGGGTTTCTTGTAGCCCAGGTTAGCCTTTAACTTACTAAGTAGCCAAGGATGCTCTTGAATTCCTGATCCTTCTCCCTCCACTTCCCAAGTGGTGAGATTACGTTTCGGGTTTTTTTTTTTTTTTTTTTTTTTTTTTTTTTTTTTTTTTTTTTTTTTAGTGTTGGGGATTCAACATCTTTCTGAATACTAGGCAAACACTCTGCTGAGCTACATTCCCAGTCTTTCTTTCTGTCTTCCTTCCTTCCTTCTTTTCTCTCTCTTTCTCTCTCTCTTCTTTTCTTTCTTTTTTCAAGACAGTTTCTCTGTGTAGCCCTGGCTGTACTAAAACTCTCTCTGTAGACCTGGTTAGCCTGAAACTCAGAGATGCACCAGCCTTTGCCTCCCAATTGCTGGGATTAAAGGCATACACCACCACAGCCTAGCCTTTCTTTTCTTTTCTTCTTTCTTTCTTTCTTTCTTTCTTTCTTTCTTTCTTTCTTTCTTTCTTTCTTTCTTTCTTTCTTTCTTTCTATGAGACTAGTCTCATAGCTCAAACTGCCCAAGAACTCTCTAATGTATCCCAAGCTGGCCTCAAAGCAGATCCTCCTGCCTCAGTCTTCCATGTACTGAGATTACAGGCATGAGTCATGTCTTAGGGTACTACTGCTGTGAGGAGACACCATGACTAAAAGCAAGTTGGGGAGGAAAGGGTTTATTTGGCTTATACTTCCACATCACTGTTCATCAATGGTAGTAGTCAGGATAGGAACTCAAACAGGGCCGGATCCTGGAAGCAGGAGCTGATGCAGGGACCATGGGAGTGTGCTGCTGACTGGCTTGATCCCATGGCTTGCTCAGCCTGCTTTCTTACAGAACCCAGGACCACCCAGCCCAGGGATGACATCACCCACAATGGGCTGGACCCTCCCCCATCAATCACTAATTTAAAAAATGCCCTACACCCCAATCTTATGGAGGCATTTTCTTGATTGAAGTTCCCCCTCAGATGATTTTAACTTGTGTCAAATTGGCATAAAATTGTCCAGCACATGCCACCACAACTGGTGCTCACGTTTTTTTCTCCCCTGGGTAGCCTTATTTTCAGATAAGGTTTTGATGGGCTGTGGTGGTACATGACTTTACTCCCAGCACTTGGGAGGTAGAGGCAGATCTCTGAGTTTGAGGTCAGTTTGGCCTACAGGGTGAGTCCCAGAACAGCCAGGGCTACCCTGAGAAACTGAGAAACAAAAGAAACAAACAAACAAATCAAATCAAGTAAGATCTCCTATTTTTGGGGCCTGGAGAGATAGCTCAGAGGTTAAGAGCACTGGCTGTGCTTCCAGAGGTCCTGAGTTCAATTCCCAGCAACCACATGGTGGCTCACAACCATCTGTAATGAGATCTGGTGCCCTCTTCTGGCCTATAGGCATACATGTAGGCAGAACACTGTATACATAATAAATAAAATTAAAAAAAAAAGATGTTTTTAAATATTGTTCTAGGGAATTGGATGTCAATGTGTGGCTTAAGGATTACAATTCAACTCAATTTAGCGTTGATGGGAGGTATTTGTCAACTGCTATTTGAGAGAATTTCTGGAGGGCTTGATTTGTAGTGAGCAGTAGTATGGACGGCAGGAAGCAGTCTTGAGCTATAGTAAACAGAGAGCTCTGAGAAGGCATGATGCCAAGGCTTAGCTCCCCATCAGATACCCCCCCTACTGTCTGCATCCCGCTTCTCCACCTTCTCTTTCTGTTTCTTCCTGTGTCTTTTTGTCCTGTCCTTGAACGCAGAGGTGTGGACTTGCGGGCCTCAGGCATCTACTGTACATTCCTGCTCTGCTCAGGGCTTGACTTCAGCCTGTGGACGCAGCTCTGCCCCAGCATCAGAGCAGAAGTCCTGGGAGAGAATGTGAAGGGTCAGTCCACGTCCTCTGGTGGCTTTGGCAGTTGCTTCTTGGCAGGTTTCTCTCGCCATTCGGGTCCATGCTTCCCACTGCCGTTGGGGTCATCTGCAAACAGACCAGTCCCTAGCAATTCACGATTCACGGCGGGCAAAAGAAAGCCAAGATGCCGAGAGAGTTGTCCGTCACCCTCGCCTTCTCTGTGCGTTTCCACGTGCACTGTCACCTAGGGTCCCTGCTCTTGCTACCAGGAGGTGTGACCGCCGATCCACAGCGCCAGCAATCGGACGACACTGTTAGGGCAGAGTGATGGGACCAGACCAGATCTGACCCTTAGACTTCTCCTTTCTGTAAATTCACAGGAGCACGTTAAAAGACTGACGTGGGCAGTCTGCCTTCAGCTCAGCACCCCCAAGCTGACTGATAGTCACAGTCACCCGGAGAGCTCGGGACACCTAAAGCCTCTCAGATCCCACCAGACCTACTGACTCAGACACTCTAGGCATGTGACCCTGGCATCCACATTATGTAGGGCACATGACAGTAATGCGGGCCGTTTTGTGTCCTCAGTAGAAGTCTCTGCTCTTCCCTAGACTCGTAGTTGAGTGCGGTCAGTTTTCCTTATATTAGCCTGTCTGTCTTGTGCCTAGTGCTAACCCGGTGAGTTTAAATTTCTGATGGCTAATGACTCCCTCCTGCCATTTCATTGTCTCTGCGAAAGACTTAAGTCGTCTGCCCATTTGCATTTTTGCCTCACATTCTCTATTGAGTGCAACTGTCTCTGACATGCAGATATCGTCTCCTTGTCTGTATTTTGTCTTCCATTCCCTTCCTGGGTTTGCTGTGGTGGGGATCGAACCACGGTCTACATGCTTGCTGAGCAAGGCTGTGCAGCTAAGCCTCGGCTGCGGCTTCTTTTCTTTCCCCAGCCCAATCTTTTTATTAACTAATTTTTTGTTTATTTATACAATATATTTGTCCATTTTGGTTTGTGATATGAAGATTGACATTGACTGACTTTCCAGTGTTACACCAAGCTTGCTTTTGGAAGGACAAATACCACTTGGTCATAGTATAGTATGATCTTTACAAACTATTGGATTCAATTTATTAAAGTTTTAAAAGGCTTATTTTGTTTGTTTGATTTGGTGTTTTTTTTTTTTGTTGTTGTTGTTGTTGATTTTTAGTTTTTTTGTTTTTTTGAGACAGGGTTTCCTCTGTGAGTAGTCTTGGCTGTCCTAGAACTCTGTAGACCAGGCTGGCCTCGAACTCAAAGATCCACCTGCCTCTGCCTCCTGAGTTCTGGGATTAGAGACGTGTTCTAGCACCATCAGGCTGATTTACTTTGTTTTTAATTATGTGTATGTGTGTGTATTTTTAATTATGTGCATATGAGTGCAGGTGCCAGCCAAAGCCAGAAACAGTGGTTCTCTCTCCTCCTCCCCTTCCTCTTCCTTCTCCCCCCTCCCTCCCTCCCTCCCTAACTTCCCCTTCCCTCCTTCCTTCCTTTGCTGGAGGTTGGACGGAGAGCACTGATAGATCTAGGCAAGTGCTCTCCTACCGAGTCAGATTTCATAGTCATCGACTGTGGTTTTCTTGTAATGTCTTTGCTCATTTTGCACTGAAGTCATGCTTGCCTCATACAACAAGTAGGGACATGTCTTAGCCTCTTCAATTTTATGGAGAAGGTTCGGCGGAATTGGTATTACTTGGGAAGAGGCAGCGGTGCTGAGAACCAAACCCAGAGCCTTGCACACAGTGGGCAGGCCCTCTTCCACTGAGGCTCATTCTCAGTCCTGGCTATCACTTCTTATTTAAATGACTGTTGGAATTCAGCAGTGAAGTGGGGGTGTGCCTACAATCCTAACACTCAGGAGATGGAGGCAGGAGGATCAGGAGTTCAAGGCCATCCTCTGCTACATAGCGAGTTTGGAAACAACTTGGTCTATGTTAGACATTGTGTCAAAAACCAAACCAAACCAAACCCCCAGCAATAAAGTCACCTCAGCCTGTAATTTGCTCTGTGGAAAGATTTTAAAGTTTAATTAAATTTTAAAAGTAGTTGTTAGGTAGCACACAACTTTAATCCCAGCAACTCAGGAGGCAGAGGCAGGCAGATCTCTGCTACTTTGCTTTACTTAGTAGATTCTAGGACAGCCCAAGGCTACATAATAAGACTCTGTTTAAAAACAAAAATAAAAAATAAAAAAAATTAGGCGAAAACAAAGAAAAGAAACCCAACAAAATCCATTTATTATCTTTTTATTTATTATCTGGTGAATATGCTGTGGTATAATTTCCCCCATTTATTTTGTTTTGTTCTTGTTTTTTGAGATAGGATTTCACTATGTAGACCAGACTGACCTTGAACTTGTGGCAATCCTCCTGCCTCTGCCTATCATGTGCTGGGATTAAAAGTATGTGCTTCTATGCCAACTTCTCATTCCATTGATGTATGTATGTATGTATGTATGTATGTATGTATGTATGTATGTATTTGAGAGTACCATGGTATGCGTGTTGATGAGACGTTTCTTCTCATCCTCTTCCTCCCTTCCCCCTCTTCTCATAATGGAATTTCCTTCTGAGAAAGTCATTCTTTCCTGAGTGCTTCCTCAGCACATCCTTTATTTATTTTCATGTGTGTGGGAGTTTGCCTGCATGCACACATGCATACAGTGCCTGCCGTGACCAGAAACAGGCATCAAATTTCCTGGGACCGGAGTTATGGGTGGTTGTGAGCCACTAAGTACATGCTGGGACCAAACCTAGGGAGAGCAGCCTGTGCTTGTAACAGCTGAGCCACATCTCCAACCCCCAAACATTCTTTTTCACACAAAATAAATATGTATTACATCCTAAGGAAGGAAGGGAGGTCACGAGAGGAAAAAACCAAACAGTAAAAGTAAGGAGTCTAGAGAGGACATCTCAGTGCTCACCTTCTTTTGGCCCAGGTGTCCAGGACTGGGTTAGGAAGTGAGTTTCATCTGCTTGGAGAATGTGATTGGACCTTATGTCAAGAAGGATTCTGAGGCCACCTCTAGGGAGATGGCTCAGTGGGTATGGCTCTTTTCTGTAATTCTAGGACATGAGCAGAACACCTGTAGTGCACAGAACATGGTTTATCACACTTACTTATTTTTGTGTGTGTGTACATGTATGCGTGTGTGTGTGTGTGTGTGTGTGTGTGTGTGTGTAGACCCTTGTGGAGGTCAGAGGACTCAGAGCTGGGTCCATCCTTCTACCTTGTGGGTCCCAGGGGTCAAGCTATCAGCTTGGCAGCAAGCTTTTACCCACTCAGCCGTCTCACCAGCCCAGTTGAAATAAGAGCTAGCAAGGCTACGAAACACATCGCACAGTGCCTTCAGACAGGAGACGTAAATAATGTCCTGAAGTCATGGCTAAGGAGTCTGGCTCCAGAGTCTGAGCTCTTGTCTCTGATTTACTTCTAGCAAATGTTTAATGTGTTAGAAATAACCTGCATGCCTGAATCTGTACGGCATACAAGGGCAAGGTGGAGTTGTTGTTTGCTAATATGAAAATGGTCAAAGTGTCCCATATTTTTACTTTAGATTTTTTTAATCCTACTTCATTCATAATTCTTACAGTTCCATCTGATCTTTTGTATTTTATTTCTCCAGGTTCCCTTGCCAGCTCCATTTTTGACCCCTTTAATTCTCTTGTGGGTGCTTCAGGAGGAGTCTATGCGTTGATGGGAGGCTACTTTATGAATGTTATAGTGGTAAGCATTGTGGGAATGGAAGTTTTAAAGGCAGGATCTCATGTAGCCCAGGCTAGTCTGGAACCTGATATCTAGCAGAGGCTGGCCTCTGCTTTGATCCTTGTCTAGATTCTGGATCTTTGCCCATGACAAACACGCATTACCACACCCTATTTCTGGACTTAAAAAACAGATTTGGTAATTTTGTTTTATATGTGTGAGTATTTTCTCTGCATGTATTTGTGAGCACTGTGTGCATACTTGGAGCCTATGGAGGTTAGAAAACGGGATCTGATCCCCCAGAAGTGGAATTACAGATGGTTGAAGGCCATTATGTGGGTGTTAGACTCGAACCCAGATCCTCTGGAGCTATTTCTCCGGCTCCTGGACTTTTTTGTTTTCTTTATAAATGAATAGTTGTTTGATTCAGGGGATCCGGATTTATCAATAGTTACCGAGTTCTTATGATCTAAGAGTTGTTTGGCCACTAGAAAAGGCGACCCCCGTCCCGCTGTCATAGCCCCTTTGTGCCACGGTCACCAGCACACTGCTTAGTCAGACGTCTGTATTTTGATTTATTGAGTTGCTTCTCCCTCCCTTTCAAATAATAAACTTTCTTCCCAGGGAGCTAAAGTTCGATTAAAAACAACAGCCTAGGGCCGGCGAGGTGGCTCTCAGGTAAAGGTCCTGCCACCAAGCCTGACACGTGACGAGTTCAACCCCCTGCACCCGCATGGTGGAAGGAGAGAACCTATTCTCACATGTCTGATGATCTCCACATGTGAGGCATGGGCATGTACACACACACACAGGCACACACATTTTTTAAAATGTAATTTAAAAATAATAGCCTGGCATTTCCAGTCTCGTAAAAAAATGAAAGAAATGCTCCAATATTGGCTAAATCTCTCTTAACCCCTACTGTTAAAGAAAGAAGATGGAATAGTAAAAGACTAACCAGAAAGGCTTAGAAATATTTTACCAGACTTATTTCTCCATTTATTGACTCATTAAATATTGATTTTATGTTACTTGTATTTAACTACTGGCTAATGAAATTGTGTCATTTACATTATAAAATTAAACATTATGTTTTGTTTTGTGGTCCAAAACACAGCAGCATTGTCCTTCTCTGCTGCATTTGAAAACTTGGCTGTTGCATCTGTGGTTTGCCTTGCAAGTATTTGATGCATAAACATTGCTTTAAGCTGGGTGTGGTGGTGCATGTCTTTAATCCCAGCACTTAGGAGGCAGAGACGGGCGGATTTCTGTAGGTTCAAAGGCAGCTTGGTCTACAGAGCAAGTTCCAGGACAGCCAGGGCTACACAGAGAAACTCTGTCTTGAAACCAAAACCAAAATCAATAAACATTGCTTTAAATGAAACAGCAAACGAAGAGGGAGTCAGGTTGAGATGCCATTTGCTTATAGCTTATAGTCTTCTTATCGCTTCCTCAGAATTTTCGAGAAATGATTCCTGCCTGTGGAATTTTCAGACTACTCGTCATCATCCTGATAGGTAAGTGAGCTTTGTGAATACTTTACACCCTCAATCTACTCTTCAGCCTTCAGAAGGGCTCCTTGGGGTGCTCCACCCTACCACAAAGGACAATTGATAGTCTAGTGTTGGGGAGAACTGTCCGGTAGTAGAAATGCCTCCATGATGTGCCCGGGCAAGCTCTGGATGTGCTCTGTGCCTCTCACAATAGCCTGTGTCTTGGATTCTTTGTGCATAAAATGCCACCCTTACCCTCACTGGGATTTCTAAGGCAATCCCTCTCTGGTCTCTCTGCTCCTGTTCCTGCTTCCTATTTCCCATCTAACAGCCAGAATGGTCCTTCCCCAGCACCATGAAGGAAAGAAATCTCATCAGATTCATGCCACTTGTACCCAATGCCCTCAAAGTCTTCTGTCATGAAGATGTCAGTCATACGTCAAAGTCCCTGGCTCATAAGAGCCCTGAGCATCTCTCCCCAGCTCCTTCCCTGATCCTGTCACCCACCTCTTCATCCTTAATTCAAGTCCAGAATCACCTGGAACACAAGAGGCTGACTCTCAGCCTTAGTTCCTCATTCACCTGTCTAGGGTGAGCCAGAGAATTTCATCTTTAATAAGTTCCTGGTGCCAAGGGTCGTGGTTCCTGCCTGTAATCTCGGCACTCTGGAGGTCAAGGCAGGAGGATTCCTGCAAGTTTGGACCCACTTGGGCTAGACAGTAAATTCAAGACTAGCCTGGGCTCTATAGTGAAACCCCATCCTGAGCAAAAGAAAACAGGAGTTCCCAGATGATTGTGATATTGCTGATTTGGGGGAGATTTCTGCCTCAAGGATTCGTGCTTGTTCTTCACTCTGTCCAGAAGATTCCTGCTTCACACAACAGCGTGACTTGCTCCATCCAGTGAAGGATTGATTCTTGGAGAGCCTCCCTGATCCTCCTAAAAAGTGACAGCCTGGCTCATGAAATGTTTGGCTTAGGGTATAAAAGCACCTGCCGCCAAGCCTGACATCCTGAGTTCAATTCCCAGGACCCTTGTAGTGGAAGCAGGGAGCTGACTTTTTGCAAGATGTCCTCTGACCTCCATACAAGCCCTGGGCACATGGGCACACACCCACACATCCACATCCACACTTACACACTAAATTAATTAAAAATCATATTTTAAAGGACAGCCTATTCCTGACACCCCCAATTCTTCTTCACCTTTATTTTCTCTGTAGTACTCTGTGTAACATGGCACACTGCTGTCTTTTGTTTTTTGCTTGACTGGTTTTTGAAATAGGGTCTCATTCTGTAGATTTTGCTGGCCTGGAACTTGGTATGTAGACCACACTGGCCTCGAACTTACAGAAATCTGCCTGCCTCTGCCTCCAAGTGCTGGTATTATAGACATCAGCCAACATACCTGGCAATGCACACTCCCCTCCTCCGTCCATAGGTCAGGGCCATCGGGTCTGCTCTTTGCTCTGTGTCTACCGTGAGAATAGTGCCGTCAGATGGAAGATAGTCAATAACTACTTCTTTGATTAATAAATCCATAAATGGGTGACTGATAATGTCCACTTCATTGGGCTGTTATGAGAATTAACGAATTAATGAAGGAAGGGCTCTAAGAATCGCAGCTGGCACAACAGCAGAGTAAAACAAGACATCGTTGAGGCGAACTGCGAACTTCCTGCCCGATGTGGAGATCCTGGGCTTCATCGGGGTGTCTTCTCTTCCAGTTGCCTCAGATATGGGATTTGCTCTCTACAGGAGGTTCTTTGTCCCTGCAAACGGGTCTCCGGTGAGTTTACTTCTTTTCCTTCCTTTCTTCCTGTGTGCTTGAGTGTGCTTGTGTGTGTGTGTGTGTGTGTGTGTGTGTGTGTGTGTGTGTGTGTGTTACAGATAAGGTCTCTTTGTATAGCCCTGGCCATCCTGGAACTTGATCTGTAGACCAAGCAGGCCTGGAGTTGCACCTGCCTCTGCCTCCTGAGTGCTGGGACTAGAGGTGTGTGTCACCAACACCCAGCCCAGCTTTCTTAGAATATTCACTGCTGTATCCAGCTTTCCCACATGGGTTCCAGGATTCAGACTTAGGTCATCAGGCTTTTGAGGCAAGAACTTTTTTACCTGCCGAGACATCTCTCCAGCCTCAATTTCTTCCTTCTGTGTTTGTTTTGCTTTAAGAAAAACTTATTTTCCCATCAAAAAGAGTTATCATGTAATCTCAGCACTCAGGAAACTGAGGCAGGAGGATCTGGTGTTCAAGGCTACCCTCAGCTACACAGCAAGTGCTGGGCAGCCTGGGCTAATAACAACAAAATAAAACAACCAAATATGAAAAAAGGGATATCAAATAGAGGTTACAACTCCAATTTAAAGCAATCCAATATCGATTTGGAAGTTAAAAAAAATTCCTAAGGCAGATCTGAGGAGATGCCTCAATGGATAAAGAGCTTGATGAACCTGTGGGAGGACTGGAGTTCAAATCCCGGCACTTACACAAATGTCAGACAGGTCCATGGTGGCCGGCCTATATTCCCAGCCCTTAGTTAGTGGAAACTGGGATTTCCCAAGGCGAGCTGCCTAGCTAGACTACTGCAGTCACTGAACTTAAGGCTCAAGTACTTACTTCCCTGGGCATGGCAGTTTGTTGTATGATATTTTGATCGTATTCTAACAATAAAGCTTGCTTGGAGTCAGAGGGTGGAGCTAGCCACTAGCTGACCAAAATTAAC